ACACCACACCACACACACACCACACACCCACACACCACACACACACCACCACACACCACCACACACCACACACCACACACACACCACACCACACACACACAACACCACACCACCACACACCACACACCACACACACACACACACACACCACACACCACACACACACACACACACACACACCACACACACACACACACACACACACACACACACACACACGCACACATCCCAGCTAAGATGAGAACGAAGTCCAGGCTGGCCCATGCAAAAAAAAAAAATGCAAGACCCTATCCAAAAAATAACTGAAGTAATACAAGGCTGGAAGCATGGCTCAAGTGGTATAATATCTGCTTTAACAAGTGCAAGGCCCTGAGTTCAAATCCTAGTACTGCCAAAAAGCAAAACGAAAAAAACAAATGTTCTCATCTGGCATAAGATGTGCCATGCTTTGCTATTGAGCTTTTCGTGGCTGTCAGGGCCCTTGAAATAAGGTGAAAATGAGCATGGCATTGTAACCGATCAGATCGGACCCCAGGCGGGGGTCCAGGCAGCGAGGTCTCCAGGCTTCTTCCCCTGCCTGGGAAAACTGCCTTCACTCTCCTTGGCTCTTCCCTCCAAGCACTCAGCTTTCCCCACACTTGCTTTCTTGCATTTGCCCTCTGACTTGGCTTCAAGAATCCCTTGCTCTTTAAAGAACACATTCTTCCCTGCATGGTAAAATTACCTCCTGAGCCCCTGGAAAGAGCACACCCTTTCTCAACACCTTTCCTCTGAGTGCTAAATAATTGGAAAATTAAAAAATGACCTGCATTTGGATGACAGAGGAGAAAACCCTTTTCATAGCTGTGATGAGATTGTATGTTCTTAGTCTCTGAGACATTATTTCACTGGGAACTCAAATTTCCTGACCTCCTATCTACGCCAGACTGGCCATTTTTAGAAAACCCCTGGGGGAAAGAGGAAGCTTTGAGTCTCTGGGTCGTCTGATTGGTCAGTCCCCTTGGCATTCCCAGGGTCAGCCACACAGTGGTTGTTGCTAGGGTGACGGAAAGCAGCTTAAAGCAACCTGGAGGTTGGCTTTGTGTTCTGGTTATTTATGAGACCAATTTCCTACCTGGAAATTGTTCAGAAGAGTGGAAATACTTCAGGTGCTGTCTCTGTGGCAAAAGACGAAAGAGAAAAAAGTTCACAAAACCTTGGGCTTTGGTCTGCACTACGGTGCGTAGTTGTATTGGTCAGTGTTTTTTCCATCCAATTGACTAGAGCTTTTGGCACGGTCCTGGCCAGTCACATGGTCATCTTCTTCTTCAGAGAGGGTCTCACTATGTGTAGCCCAGGCTGACCTCGAACTCTTGATCCTCCTGCCTCAGCCTTCTGAGTGCCAGGATTCCAGGTGCACCAGCACCACAGTGTCTTTCTTTTTCTTTTTGCTGTGCTGAGAGTTGAGCACTCTACCACTTGAGTCACGGCCCTGCCCCCTTTTAATCTGTCCTTCTTTGTCAAGGTCTTTGGCCATTGTCAGAAAGAATTACATTTTCCACACATCTTTTCTTGGTCTGGGAATGGCATGGCTCTAGGTTCCTCTTCTCCTTAGGCTGTCGTTTGGCTTTTCCCGAATCTTCCTGTCACTTCCACTTCACCAGCCTTTTCCTCATTGCCTAGAAATAGGTCAGGATAAGAAATCCCCCCTTTTTACTACTCCAGTAGTCTTGTTAACAAAGTAACTCTCAACTTGTTAAATGCTCAGCTTTTAACTACTGGAAACTTCCTTTTCTTCTTTTCTTGTGGTGCTGGAGATGGAACTCTGGCCTTGTGTGTGCTACCACTGAGCTAGACCCCAGCTCAGCAGCAGGAAATTTTTATTTTTCTTTTGGTGATACTGGGGTTTGAACTCAGGGCCTCTTGCTCACTAGGCTGTACCACTTGAGCCACTCCACCAGCCGTTTTTTTGTCTTGGATATTTACAAGACAGGGTCTCATGAACTATTTTCCTGGGGCTGGCCTTGAACTGCAATCTCCCTGATCTCTGCCTCCTGAGTAGCTAGGATTATAGGCATGAACCACTGGCGCCTGGTTTGTTGGAAACTTTTGATGTTAAGAGAAATGAAATTCTGTTGTCATTAGACAAAGTCAGAGGTACCATTTCACTAGGAGTTAAGGGCACACACAGGACATTGGTGTCAACTCAATGTGGGTTCAGAAGCTGCAGCTATCCTGTCATGTTCGAATCTCAGGAATCGACTGGGATTCTATTCTTGCCTTCTTTCTGCACATCTAATCCTGTACTTGCAATTTCTTTTTTTCCTGGTATGGTGCCTCTTGATTTTGCTTTCCTTTCCTTCCCCATTTTCTCTACCTTAGACAACAGTCATCTTGTCATGCTCTGAAACCCCAAATCTGAACTTTTACTTCTCCTATGATAGGACTTCCCACACTGTACTATAACCACATTTTTTTTTTGTAGTCAGGCTGGTCTTGAACTAGTGATTCTCCTGTTTCAGCCTCCTGAGTGCTGGGATCATGAATGTGGGCCACTGTGCCCAGCTCCCATAACTGCTTCTTTAACTCATCTGCTTCACCACCAAATTGTATATTCTGTGAGAATAGAAACCCATTTTTTTCAAACTTGCCATTAGATCTTTGATACCTCCCACAAAGTAGGGTCTGCCATTGATTGCTGAGTGAATGAATGAATGAATGAATGGATGACTGACTGAATAAATGAATTCCTGGTGTTACTACTATGTCCAACTTCCCTCCGATAAACTTTTCCTACTGTCTTCAGTAGGAAGACACTCTTCATGCTGTTCATCTTCAGCTCAGGGACCCAGAGTATCTGCTCTGTTTTCTTCAACAAGTCTAAATAATTAGACCTGTCTTTCCAGGTCCACAGTCAATTGCCCCACTCTGCCCACTCATCCGTCTTTTCTCCAGCATCCCAACACTTCGTCCTTCTGCTCTAGCAAAGAGGCTTCCCTGTTCCTCTCCCTGTGGACCTACAGATCCCTGTCTCCTGGTTGTACCTCCTCCTTCGACTTTTGCCCTCTCATCTAAGCCAACTCATCTCGGGGATGCAGAGTAAGTCCTACTGCTGTAAAGTCACTCTACTTCTTTCATCTATACTCTTCTCTGCCTCCTGGATGTCTTCGATTCAATGTTTTAACTACTCTTCTTATTTAGGTTTTGTCCACCCACTTGAACTATGATATTTTGGGGGATAGAACCTGGAATAGTCTGGATCTCCCAAATGCCCATGTGTTGAAGGCTTGTTCCTCCAAGTAATGCCAGGAAATGATGGAACCTTTAAAATATGGGACCTTTTAAAGTGGGAGGTCTTTGGTTCATTGAGCAGATAGATGCTCTTGAAGGGAATTTTAGGATCTCGTCTTCTGAAGCTTTCTTTCAATTCCTGGCCACAAGGTGCTGCCTCATCACAGCCCAAATGCAACAGGGCCAACCAATCATGAATTGAAACCTCCAAAAAAACCCGAACCAAAACAAAAAAACCTGTGAGCCAAAATAAACCTTTTCTATTTATAAGTTGACTCACGTCAGGTATTTGTTATGGCAACATAAAGCTAACTAACAGGAGCCATCGTTTTTAGGTCGTTTGCATTCTGCACAGCTCCTAGTTTGAGGCTGGCTAACACTCCAGCACTTCCTGCTTTCCTTACTACTTTGCCCATACTACACATGGTCTTATTTTTTTTTCTTTTTAACTTCAATTAAGCTATGACCTAATTAAATATCTTCTGAACTAGACTTAGACTTTATTTCATGTTAAGGGAATTATTTTCTTTTTATCTGATTTTGTTACAGGGAATGCAGGAAAGTATGTTCAATAGCTCCTTTGTCCTGTCCTCTCCCACACTAGCCAGCACCCCACTACGACAGCCAGCTTCTCATAGGCCTGGTAGGCATAGTAGGTAATCCCCAATAGCAAGTTACACATGCCACAATGTGTGTTTGGTGTGCATTCCAAGTAGGTACTAGAGCCTGCCAAAGCCACTCAAAGATTTCTGTGTAGGACTAGGGGGTTGGAGGATGGGATCTAGCAAGTGCGAGCTCTAGTACTGCCAAAAACAACAACAACAAAAATCTATATACACTTAGTGGATTGAGCCTTCATCACTGTTGACTGCTGTATAAATCAAGGGTTCTCTCCTGGACCAACATCGATGAACCAATCCTTTCAAGAAGCAGGGCAGCACAAGGAAACTACATGTGTAACTATCTTAAGCAAGCAACAATGTCATTTTCTTCTTTTTTTTTTTTTTCTTAAATAAAATAGGAGAACCGAAGGGCTGGTGGAACAGGTCCTGCCTGGGGGAGGGGTTGGTACTGGTGGGAGGAGCAGGGTGGTGGGGAAATGGTAAAGGAGGGTGAATATGGTACAAATACTGTGTACACATGTATGAAAATGGAAAAATGAGACCTGTTGAAACTATTCTAGGGATGGTGGGAGAAGTGATAAACGAGAATGGTGGAGAGAGTGAAATCAAGTATGCTATATCTGATATATTGTAAGAACTTTTGTAAATGCCACAATGTACCCCCAGCCAGCACAACAATAAAAAAAAAAAAAAAAAAGAAGGAGCAGGCAGCTCCTCTATCTGCTGATATTCTGCCAAGTTAGAGTATCCAGAATGAATGGAACAGCTCTACTCTCTCTGAGGAGCTCCAGACAGCCCTAAACCTTAATGTGCCTATGAACTACATACAGATTATTGTAAAATATAGATTTTTCAGTCCCTAGGCTTGGGGTGGGATCTGAATTTTGCATTGCTCCCGGGTTCCCAGATGATACCAGTGTTGATGCTGGGGCTGCCTGTCCACAGACCACACTTTGAGTACAAGAGTGTAGAATACAGTCACCTCCTTGTCCTGTGAAAGTTAGCACGTGAGACTAGACTCATGGGAGACTTCATGCACGCCATCCTTCATTGTAGCACTTCTTGGAAGTATCAGCCTAAGCCAGTCTTTAATTCTTTTTCAAACAGCATATCTAAGTTTTGCAACCATAAGCACCAGCCAGGAGAATATATATTTCATGCAGAAAATGACGACGCCCAGTTCACCAAAATGTTCACGCTGAATATAAGAAGTAAGTGAAGTTGTCAAGAGTTTCATTTTTGTCTTCTAACTTCTTTTTTCTCTATTCATCTTAACGAAGAAGAGCCAAGTCATGGCTTAGAATGGATGCTAAAGAACTGTTTTTTGTATGCTGAAAAGTTTCGAAGTTTTATTCTTCTGTCTACTGGCACTGGTTATATATGTCTCTTTCTGTGTTTATCCTCAGAAGCTAAAAGATTTATTTCATATCCTGTCTGCATGTTCTTTAGTGTTGTGCTGTGTTTTTTTGTTTTGTTTTGTTTTCAGTACTAGGGTTTGAACTCAGGGCATCATGCTTGCTAGGCAAGCACTCTACTACTTGAGCCACTCCACCAACCCTTTTTTGTGTTGTACACTTTTGAGATAGGGTCTCACAAACTATTTGCCCAAGGCTGGCCTTGAACCACAATACTCCTGATATGTGCCTTCTGAGTAGCTAGGATTACAGGCGTGAGCCACTGGCACTTGGCCTAGTGTTATGAATTTATTGACTTTCGTGCTTTGAACAGTGATGTTAAGGAAAGGCTGAAAGTCATATCATCTACCATTTATGTGTTTTAATAACTTTCATTTCTTTGGTCTGTAAAAAGACAAGAGTAAGGAGGAAAAGGCAAAGACAGAGTACATTTCATTAGACTTTTTGCAGGTATTCTTCTGAAGTTGAGAATTGTTTTGAAGTATGCATTGTAGATAGAGGTGTGCACCTCAGCTCTCTCTCTGGGAGGAGTCAAGCAGTGGAAATGTGATGTTCAGTGAAGAGGTGTCTGGCTGCCTGTCAAGAAGGTTACAGGGGAGGAAGGGAATAACCAGAGGTCTTGAGGCATTTGGAGGAGGGAGCTTACCAGGAGCACACACTGCCCTGGAGTAAACAGGGAGCCTATACTGAAGCCAACTTTGAAACCATTTCTGGAAAGCCCTATACTCCATGAGTTATTTTATACATTATTCTCTGCAGGAAAGCCTCAAGTACTAGCCGAAACCTCAACGAGCCAGGCATCCTGTTCCTCAGATGGATACCCGCTACCCTCTTGGACCTGGAAGAAGTGTTCAGACAAGTCTCCCAAGTAATCAGAACCTGGCATCTCTTGTAATGGAAGAGCATAAGACTCAAGCTTTTGCCTGTTTCTTGTGAACACAGTTTAAGAAGCAATGATGACATATTTAAAAAGCTTACTTCCACGGTCATAGTTGTTTGTCTAACTTACCATATGGATCTCTTTTAGATCTTGCTAAAAGTTAGAAACCCTAACTTCCCATCTGATGACCGTCCTGCCTGCTAACTTCTCTGTTTGCCATTTTCTTTCAGCTGCACAGAAGAAATCACAGAAGGAGTTTGGAATAAAAAGGCTAAAAGAAAAGTGTTTGGACAGTGGGTATCAAGCAGTACCCTAAACATGAGCGAGGCCGTGAAAGGGTTCCTGGTCAAGTGCTGTGCATATAATTCAGTGGGCACATCTTGTGAAACAATCCTTTTAAATTCACCAGGTGTGCAACAGTTTCTATGGTAATACTTCCTGTGAGGAATTCCCCACTGGATATTAGTCTCTGTCCTTGGCTTTTACAAGGGGGAATTTTTACAAGAAAGTAGAGGTCCAGTGTGTGAGGAAAGAGGGCTTTGAGTCAGGCAAGAATCTCCCCTGACATATGCTGTACTGTTTTGCATTTTAAGGCAGAGTTCTACTTAAGTTATTTACTGGAAAGTTACAATGACATAGAAAACTGTAAATTCCTGGTATGACGAATAGATGAATACCCACCAAAAAGTCCAACTTTAAAAAAAAACTGTAGTAATTTGACCTATCATTTTCCCTTTCATTAATTTTCTTGTTTACCTTCAGCCTGTTTTGGGTTCATTTTTCAGAGCCCTGCTAAATTAAACAGTTCTGCAACCTGGCCATCTACAAGAATAGTTCAGAATCCCCAGCATCAAAAACCTAACTTCTCCACATTCACGTGATGTTGTCATGTGTCTTTGTGAAGGCACAAAGACTTCTTTTTTAAAAAAAAAAATCTGGTTTAATGGATGGATTTAAATGGATATCCTTCTTATAACCCTAGGAAATGATTTTTTAAATGGGTTCAGAATTGTTAAGAATTTTCTGGAAAGGGAACCTGACTTTCTGTGGGAAGCAGAGTACACGTAGAGTGCTTGCAAAGACTGAAAACAGTGGTTACTCAAACAGGATGTGAGATATTCTAATGAGTAGTGTACTATTTATAACAGCACACAGGAATTCTTTCTCATTGCCAAATGACGCCCTTTTCTTACAGGCCCCTTCCCTTTCATCCAAGACAATATCTCCTTCTATGCAACGATTGGACTCTGTCTTCCCTTCATTGTCGTTTTAGTCATGCTGATTTGTCACAAGTATAAAAAGGTAAAAGCAATAGTGAAAAATCCACAATTGTTTTGTCTACCTGCACTCCTCCTGTTACTCACTGATTCATTATTTCACCTCTGAAGCAATTTAGGTATGAAAGTCAGCTGCAAATGGTGCATGTGACTGGCTCATTGGATAACGAATACTTCTACATTGATTTCAGAGAATACGAATATGATCTCAAATGGGAGTTTCCAAGAGAAAACCTAGAGTTTGGTGAGAATGGAATGTTCCAAATGTTTCTGTGGCATTTCCTTTTCCTTGGAGAATCTTTAAGATGCACCTACTTCTCATTTATCTTTGCAGGAAAGGTACTAGGATCAGGTGCTTTTGGAAAAGTGATGAATGCAACAGCTTATGGAATTAGTAAAACAGGAGTTTCAATCCAGGTTGCAGTGAAAATGCTGAAAGGTACAGTACTAGACATGGAACAATATCAACAAAGATGAGAGGTGGCTTCCCACTCATCTTTTCCCCCTCCTCCATCACTTTTATGATTCCTGCTTGGCAGACATCACAGTTAAAAAGGAATAGGTTGGGGGTTAGGATTAACCAAATCATGCATATTAGATACAAGTCACAACTGCAAAAGTCCACTTCTTCCTCTTTTCTCTTTGTTGAGTTTTTTTGTTTTGGTTTTTTTTTGGTGCTGGGGTTTGAACTCAGGGCCTACACACCTTGAGCCTCTCTACCAGTCATTTTTTTTTCAAGATAGGGTCTCATGAACTATCAACTATGTGGCTGGCTTTGAACCACAATCCTGTTCTCTGCCTCTTGAATAGCTAGGATTATAGGTGTGAGCCACCCGCACATGGCTTCTTTGTTGAGTTTTTATTGGCTTCAGTAATTAGGGATGCAGTCATTACAGGCAGTTGTTTCTTACGTTTTGACATAGATTGTAGGTAGAAGAGGAAAGTGAAGCCTTCTGTCTCCTCACTTGCCACTCATTGCCCTGTCTACTCCAATCTGACATCTACTTCATCACTTCTGGGACTACCACTCACTGAGCACAGGTACCCCAGCTGGCCCTCTTGCTAAGGTGAGCAGTAACCTCAGTAGGAGCGAAGAGAAAATTTCTTCTCTGCTCTCTGAAGATTCCTGAAATAAACTGACAATAGGCAGATTAGCAGGAGAAAATGGTACACAAATTTATTAATGTACATGGGAAAATCACACCACAGAACTCCTATGCAGAGTATGAATGAACCTCTGAGAAAGGCCAGATGGTTGAAGCTCATATATGTCCTGGAGTTACAGAAAGAAACAGAAGCTTGGATGGGGCTGTGGGTTGCTGGAGAAATATATGAGGTATTTGTCTGTCTGTCTGTATGTATGTATGCCGGTTCTATTTGTAGATAAAGTCTCTTAGGTAACAGTCTTCAAAGGAATAGAGAGAAGTCTTTTTCTGGGTGGGGTATCCTAAGCATGATGACTTTTCATTTCATCTTTTCTGGTGAATGAGATTCAGGACAATTGTATTCCTTCCAGGAAGAAAACTGTTATTTAAATGCGGGGACATCAGAAGGTCCCTCTCTGTGCTTTGGAACAGGAAGAGGATTAAGAGGCAGGGCAGTAGAGTAAGGGGGTTGGCACAAAAGGGAAGATAGACCTTGAGGCTGCTTCTTTAGCCTAAGTTGTCACACTTCGGGGTTGTCTTCTGAACCTGAGTACTTTCAGCTGACTACATCCAATGGCATTTTTCAGGCTTCATGTTACTTGACTTTTTCAGTTGAAATCGACACTATTGGCCAGTCTCCCCATTTTGAAATGCTTTCTTTCTTTGGTCCACATCACCGCAGTTTTCTGGGTTTCCTCCTGCTTTTCTGACTGCGTCTCAGTCTTTGTAGGCTCATGGCCTTCCTTCTAGCTTTTTATGTGGCACTCCAGTCAGCTTGCTCCTAGTCCTCCTCCCTTTCCATCTTCATGCTAACTGTGGGCAATTTTCACCTTGCCCCTGGCTTCTTCTTGTAATACCAGTGGTTCTTGTGACTGTATCACCTGTCTGAGCCTCAGCTTCATCTGTCCAAATGCTTGGATGTCTCAAAAGTCCCTTTTATTCTGCTTATCCAAACTGAGCTCCCCCAACCTTTCCCTCCATCAATGCTCTCTCTGCTTGTTGATTAGTATCAAGTGACAGTGAAGAGTCACACGATTGTACAGAACCCTGACACTGTCCTCTTCATAATCCCCTAGAGGCTGTATCTATCAGGTGTTTCCCGGATGCATCTTTGCTCTATTCCCACCCTACTCCTGGAAAGCGGGTATTTTGTATCCAGTCTTACTTCCTGTTGTGGACTCTATGCTGAAGTACAAGTGACGGTGATGAGATGCAAAGCAGAGAATATCATCTTTCTGTTTAGCCTGTCTGGGGGCTTTCAGTTATTCTCACGATGGTCACACAACCCACTCAGCCTCTGTACCTCTTGCTCTCATATACCAGAATTCTGGCCTTCTTTCAGTTCCCCAGAGCATCCACTCCCTCCCACCTCAGGGCCTTTGTACAGGGGATCCTTCTACCTGCTCTTCCCCTTTCGCTTAGGTAGCTCCCACTCCTCTTTCAGATCTCAGCTTAAATATCACTTCCTCAGTGGAGCCTCCTTTCCACCACAGACAAGACCACGTCCTTTGAGGCTGGGAGTGTAGCTCGGCAGTAAAGCATGTGCTAAGCTTGTATAAGGCCCTGGGTTCAATCCCCAGCACCAAAAACAAACAAACCCAATCAAGTCTCTTGCAATATGTTTCTGAGTCCTTGGTAGGCTTTTCCCCCAGAATTTCTCACAATTATAATTCCATATTTGTTTAGTTTTTCAACTAAGGCCTCATCCGCTGCATTAGTCTATAAGCCTTATGAGGGTGGGGCTGTGTCTATTTGCTGAGCTCTCTTCTCTCTTGCCTTTCATGTGTTCTCTTACTTAGTGTGCCATGGTCTTCTCTACCCTCACGCCTCCTCCTCTGTGGGTTCACCTGGCAACCTCCCAGTTTTCTCCAGGTCTCAGTTTAGACATTCAGTGCCCTTTTCCCTACCCCTCCCTGTGTTAGCTGTCCTTCTTGTATGTTCCACAGCATCTCACATCCATTTGCCATATTTCACTTATTGTATAACAGTTGTCCTCGGTTTCCATGGCAAGTTGGTTCTAGGATCCCCTCCATGAATACACACTCCCAATACTCAAGTTCCTTAGATAAAATGGTATAGGATTCCCATAAAACCAACACAGCCTCCCATATACTTAAATTTATTTTATTAGCATATGTTTATTAAACAAAATAATGGATTTCATTGTGACATTTCTCCTATGTAGTATAAATCATCTCTAGATTACTTATAATACCTAATACAATGTAAAAGTGATGACAAGAAAAAACAAGTTGTGTATGTTCAGTAGAAACATGGTTTTGACTTTCTGAATAGTTTTGGAACTCACAATATGGAGGGCTGAGTGTATAATGAAATGCTGACTTACTTACCTCCCTTTTCCTCCCTTTTCCAGGAGACGCTAAGCTCCAGGAAGACAGGGGCTGTGTCTCTGTTATCTTTCATTCCCCAAAGCCTGGCACATTGCCTTATACACTCAAAAGATGCTTGCAGAATAAATGTATGAAGAGGTACTAGTACATGAAAGTGTTTTGAAAAAATTAAGCATAGCACAAAATATAAGTTCTTATTTTGGTCATAACGAACAAGAGACGGACAATTTAAAGTCATAAATCACTGTACATTCTTCTTCTTTTTTGGAGGTACTGGGGTTTGAACTCAAGGTCTCATGCTTGCTTGACTGGCAGGAGCTCTACCACTTGAGTCACTCTGCCAGCCCAACAAATCACTGTCGTGTAAGCAGCTGAAGACATGATGTGCTGATATCACACAGTGAAGGGTCCTACTTCCAAGCCAAGATCTTGGTGATAAGGACATCCCTGATAGATCACTCCAGTCAAAATAGATGATATCAACACTAGAAAAACACCAGAGAGGCTGGGATGTCTTCCAGGCTTGAGTAATGGGACCTGGAAATCTAATCAAATCTTCACTGAATGTAAAGAAAAGTTAATATGTCTGTAAGAAGGAATGTGCTAACAGAAGTTGGGTACCTATAGCTTAGAGTAGGGAAGCCAAGGACCCTGCCCTGGCCCTTGGGCCTGCAGCACCCATCTGCAGCAGATATGCCCCGAGCAGCTATACATAAGCTTCAATGACAGGAGCTCTCTGAGTCTTCAGTAGCTATGCTCGTGCTATACTTTGAAGCAAGGTAATGAGTATGATTTACCAAGCTGTCTGGACTTTTCTCCAGGGAGAGAATACATTGGACATGGATACATGTTAGCCTGCTTGACGGTTGTAGTTCTCATTTCAGTTAAAGATTCTCAAGAACTGTTTAGTTTGAAATAGTCCTCTTTGACCTCATCCTGCTGGATCTAATGACAAATGGAAGGTTCTAGAACTGCTGACCACATGCTGGAGCCATCCACCCTCGTTGAAGCTCCTATCTTCTCTATGAGATCAATAAATCCAAGAGTCAAAGTTTCTACTGTGGAGGAAAATCATGTGATATTACTGTTTTGTTTGTTCTGAGAGCCAATGGCAAGGATTTTTATTTCATTCAGTAGAGAGGAAAGTCCTGTAGAAAGATATGTTATTAATTCATTACTTATACTACAATCTTTGAAATTCTGTCTTCAAACATGGGATCCATGCATTATTTCTATGTCCATTTTTTCCTTCTTATAATTTTAATTTAGATAGGTAGCACAAATCAGCTCTGAATTGGGAAAAATTTCAAGTTTTTAAACAACATGAAATTACTTGAGTTTTGACATTTCTTGTATTCCTCCATTGACAGAAAAAGCAGACAGTTCTGAAAGAGAGGCACTCATGTCAGAACTCAAAATGATGACTCACCTGGGACACCATGAGAACATTGTCAATCTGCTGGGGGCCTGCACACTTTCAGGTAATCAGTTTCTCCCTAAACCACCTAATGCAAAATATTGCCGCCCGAAGATAAAAAAGATATTTATTCTCATGTTTATTCTCTGTTGTAAGTCCCAGTGTGTGTCACCATTTGGAGTAGAATTAGACACTTGGGCACTCCGTCCATCAGATGGGTCAATGTAATGAATGCCCCTCTTTGACCTGCTTTATTCATTCTAACCTGCTTAAATTGTACCCTGCAAGTACATTTTGTGGTGTCTGAGCTTATCCCCTACCTGTGAGGCTGACATAAATGCAGTAGTGAAAATAGTTTCAGAGCTTAGTCATTGTCCCCATTGGGCTGCCTTCAAACAAGTCAGAGCCAATGCAGAATTTCAAACTACCTTCCCATGATTCTTTGGGGGCATGCTCTTTGTTGTTCTCCTGTCTGCCTAGAAATGCCCAGATCTGGTAGGCAGATCTGGGGCTGGGACTAAATGAAGAGGGAAAAGAGAAAAATGGATTGAAGAGAGGATTGGGAACATATTTTCCTCTCTCCAGGCGAAGAACAAATCAGCATATACTTACCAAGTGTACCAGCCAGCTTTCTGCCAGTGTGACAAAATACCTCAATAATCAATTTAAAAGGAGGAAAGATTTATTTTGGCTTACCTTATGCTAGCTGGGAAATGAAAAGACAAGGCAAGGGGTTGGGCTCCAGTATCACCTTAAAGGGCATGCCCTCAATGACCCAACTTCCTTCCCCTGGGTCCCATCTCTTAAAGGTTTCACTGCCTCCCAATAGCACCATGGCATTCAACGCATGGGCCTTTGATCCAAACTGTGGCACCTGGTGTACACAATCCAGCTGGCATGTGATTCCCAGTTGCAGATTGGAGAACCCGGGAGGTCAGTGGGATTGGTGAAGCCCATGTGTGTAAGAGCCAAAGAGAAAGGCCAGAAGGTACTGATTTCCAAAGAATTTTGAGCAAAAAAGCTGAAATTAAATTTAAAGATAGGCTCAGAAAAGGTACTTTCCTAAATTGGGGGAATACTGAGCTCTCATAGAGAATATCGTATGCTACTCACACCTCTGAAAAAAACAATTTCGTGTTTGTATAATTAAAACTGCAACTATTTCAGGACCTGTCTACTTGATTTTTGAATATTGTTGCTATGGTGACCTTCTCAACTATTTAAGAAGTAAAAGAGAAAAATTTCACAGGACATGGACGGAGATTTTCAAGGAACACAATTTCAGTTTTTACCCCACTTTCCAGTCACATACAAGTTCCAGGTAAGAAGCTAGGTGAGGGTTCCCTAAGTATACATCCCAGGACAAATGTCTATGTCTGGCTGAAAGCATTGCAAGGTCTGTGACTCTGAGGTCTAGAAAAGTCACCTGTCTTTGCTACAAAGTTCTAACTTGTTAGTTATTGTTTGACAACGTTGATTTCAGTTACCCTTCATCAATCATGGACCAAAAATTTTAAATGACAAAGTCCTGAAATAAACTATTTATAAATTTTAAATGACTTTTTTGCTATAGCTTATTGCTAGAATTGTTCTGTTTTACTATTAGCTATTGTTAATATCTAAATGTGCCTAATTTATAAATTAAACCTCATGATAGATATGTGTGTATGAGGAAAACATAGTATGTATGGGTACTGGCATGCTTGCAGGCCTCCACTGGGGGGGCCTTGGAATGTATCCCCTACGGGTAAGTGAGAGGCAACTAATTTCCCTGTTGATTTGGAGCAATGAGTCCTTTCCTTTTTCCTTCAGGACAGGTACTAGAGCTGAGCCAGTCTCTCTCCAACTGCCCCTAAATCATGCTCTAGCTACATGTCTGGTTTGGGGAAAGGTACATTATTCAATTTTTCAGGCCTCCTGTTTGCCACACAGGTATTGGCAGAAAGAATGAAGACTTTTTTCAAAGTCCTTGACATGTTCATGAGAATAGCTCAGATTCTGGGACTGTTGCACAAAAGGGCCCTGAAGTCATAAATGTTAGGATGGATTGACAGGTGACAAAATAAAGTAGTGATTACTTTGCCTCTCTTCTCCGTGTTGAACATTCAGCTATCCATGTGCCTCCTGATAGGATTTTCTGTTCCAGCATGCATAAGTAGGGCCTTAGGAGTTTGGTGACATGCTCATCCTCAGCCTTGCAATTTCTTGCTAATGACCTGAGCATCACAGCCTGTAGCCCCTTTTCTCTGAACAGACGTGTAGGCATTCTGAGAGAATGACTCCTTCATCCACAGTGCCTCCCTGTTTCCCTGCATAGGCCACCACTTTCCCTTCCTCTGAAGGCAGACTGATTTGTCAGACTTTTATCTTTTCTAGGGGCCTCTTGGGAATGTTTTTGAGATTCCTAGCTTTGTGTCCTTACAATGCAAGCTTCATTGCAGGCCTTTAACCTTCCAGCTCTTACACAGACACAGCATCTTAAAGCTGTAGACCTCATGGAAGTCTCCATGTGTGTCTTGCATGGGTGCTTGCTCTTAGCTGTGTATACCTTTCACACTAATCCAACCTTTCTGTCATTTCTCACTTCACACTCCAGAACTGAGAAGACTTTTATAATCATCATGCAGATTTTGTGTGTGGGTGGGGGGGGCGGTGCTGGGGTTGAACATAGGACCTCACACATGCTAAGCGCATGCTCTACCACTGACCTATATCCCAGTCTGCCATGCATATTCTAGAACAGAGAATCTGTCTTCAGATAGATGTGTATGACCACCACTCTGTGGTCAGTAATTAGCTCCTTGGATTCATTCTAATCATTAGGGTATTAAATACACGGAAGTGATTAATTTTGGAATATTTGTGTGCTGAAAGTATTAAGCCCTTTTTTCCAAAGATATGGAAATTGTAAATTTGGATAAACTCAGACCCCATAATAAATTGAGTCATGATCTATTTATAATTATATGTAATTTATGATATACTTTAAAAGAGATTTTTGCTATAACTTTTTTAATTTCACAAAGAAAGGAAATGAGCTATAAAGCAAACTTGAAAAAAGGATGGTGAGCTGGGGTATGGTTCAGTGGTAGGGCACACGCCTAGATGCATGAGGCCCTGGATTCTATCTCCAGCACCAAACCCAAAAACCCAAAACCAAACATGGTGGTGAAACACTTCAGGTCTTCATAGAAGATCTTTATTGTATGAGCTTTTAAAGAGAAAACAAGCTAAGCTTAGAAACCAAGGAATGAGTGTTGATTCCTAGTTTCACACGTTAAGCCTTGGGATGCAGCAAGTCATATTATCTCCCCAACCCTAATTTGCTTTCATAAAGTTAAGCTCCAACACTCAGACCACTGTCTTCTCTTACGCTAGTGAGACCCACCAGCCTGATCACACAGATGTTTTAAATGTATAGAAAAAAATCGACAAATCTCTTGTCAAGCGTGCTTCTGATTGAAAAGCCCACTTATCATTGGAATCCATTTCTCTGATGAATTGTATTCTTTTTGAGAAATAGCTACTCAGAAGAAGAATGTAAATAATGAACAGAAAAATTTCTTTTTGATAGTATCCCTGGTTCAAGAGAAGTTCAAATACACCACGACTCAGATCAGGTCTCAGGATTCAATGGGAATTCAATTCATTCTGAAGGTAACATTTTATTCTAATTAATGGCACTTTAAAATGGAAATGGACACAGGAGTTTCATGTTGCCTGTTTTTAAAAAGCGTGCCATGGCAGAGGCATTTTTCCTCTGCTAATGTCAATGTAGGCTTTACTAATGAATATTTACATGAAAGGTAGTCAAAAGCCAACAGTTTATATATTATGAATTCTATGTCAATAGCCAACTAATAAACACTGAAGGCTACTTTGTTTGGTCTGGCTATTCTTTTTGAAGTCATTAGCTAATTAGAGCCATCTCATTAACCAGTAAGTGGAAAAGACCATGAGCTCTGAAATCTGGTGGAAGTTCTTAACTTCTGGTTGCTTTCTGCTGGATGGCTTAGGACAGTTATGTAGCCATCTAAGTCACAATTTCTCATTTATAAAATGGACTTAATAATACCTTCCTCATTGGACTGTTAGAAGGAGCCAATAGAGGAACATAAAGTACAAAATATAGTTCTTAATAACATTGAATTTGTGGTCATTCTTTTTCCAATTTGGCAAATTTACCTAGTGTAAAAAAAAAAAAAAAAGATACAAAAATTCCTGACTAACTGGGAAGCCATCTAGCATCAAGGTAGCTAGGGAACCTATCTCTAACCAAAAAGAATCTTTCTGTGGCCTGAGACAGGCTCAGCACAAACAGGTCAGCTCCTGTTTGTGTGACAGGAAAATGACTGTGACAGCTAGCTTCACGAGTACATCTTAGCACCTGCCAAAAGACAGCATGACAACAAATTCAGTTTAAAGATCTTTATTGGCTTGATTTGTGATCCTAGAGTCAGGCAACACTCCATTCCAGAAAATGGAATAAGTGTTTGGGCAGAAGAGGTTGATTTTATAGACAGAGAAGGGCTGGAGAAACCAGAAACAAAGAAGAAAGAACAAATCGACTGTTTCAGAGTTTCTTTCTCTGGGACAGGGAAATGGGAAAATAGAAAAGTAAGTGAATATCAGGTTACTTCAGGTTAATATTTTTTGGCAAGGATTAAAACAGAGACAATTTCATTAGCACGGCGACTGAAACTGCCCTGTTTGGGAAGTTTGGTTGTTACCTCTCCTGACTTCTCAGTAGAACAGATAATTTCCTTTTCTGCTTGCTTGGTGATATGGTTGACACCATTTTGGTTTGGTCTGTTGAGCTTAGCACAGAAGCTCAGACCAAGACAATGGCCTCTTATAAATTTTATTTAACAAACCTCACCTAGTTTTCGCTTTAACAACTTAGTGTTTGGGCAAAAATGGAGATGGGCACTATTTTACAGATGAAGTTGAATATGAAAACCAGAAAAGACTGGAAGAGGAAGAGGACTTGAACGTGCTTACACTTGAAGATCTTCTTTGTTTTGCATATCAAGTTGCCAAAGGAATGGAATTTTTGGAATTTAAGTCGGTAAGCTCCTTTTAAAGAGAAAAACATTAACAAAAATACAAAAAGATAATTATGGGGGAAAAAAGGCATGTGGTTATATGCAATTATGAAAGAGATGCGCTATATTTTCTCTTGTTTGACATGTCTCCCTCAATGCCTGTCCTTCCCTGACCCCTCCTTCACTGTTGATGTCACCTAGAATGTTATCTCTGCTCTTTGCTAATTATAGCATAAAAACCCTGGCTCCCTTATTAGAAAATGGCTAGCATAGCCCTCCCAGGCTGCCCAAACTCCCCTAGAACTTCCAGGGCAGAAGGTCAAGATAAGTCCTTGGAAATCCCCACTCAAAATAAAGTGTAGCTTTGTTTACCTCTCCTTGGAGAGTCCTTGAGGTTGTACCCTGCACATAGCATTTTGACTGGGGTGGGGGGGGGGAGGCCCAAACTCACTTGGTTACTCAGGGTGTGTAGTCTGTGCCTGTGTGCTGCAGGCTAGTGGCAGCCCTCTAGGTCCCCACCTCCACCGTTGCTAATCCCAGATCCATTAGGCCGTGGCACAAAGCAATGCCTCCATTCTTTCTCTCATTGCCTTTTAGCTCTGCTGTTCTCTGCCATTTCGCAAGTTGTACATACAACATAAGCACATTAAAGCCATTCCTCTGGCTACTTTTTTTTTTTATCATTTTCTCTCCTTCGTAGGTGCAAAGGAAATCCGCACCCCCAACCAAGACTCTAGTCTTTAAGTCTGCTGAAATAAAGTGGCAATAGACAGATTAACAGGAGATAAAGCATACAGATTCATTGCCGTGCATGTGTGTGCAGGAGCCTCACAAAATATGAGACTCAGAAAAGGACCAGAAGGTTGAAGCTGAAATACTCTTCAGCTTCAACTGAAGAGCGTTCATGATTTTAGGGGGAAGAAGGGGTCTGAAGAACAGACAATGGGGGTGGCAGTGTAGTTCAGTAGTGGAACATTTGCCCAGCATGTGTGACGCCCTGAGTTGAACCCTCAGCACCTCAAAAATAGCAGCAATAATAAAATTAAAAAGAACAATGATCTGGGCCAAAGCTCCAAGGTGTGGTATTTGATTTTCAATCTCTTCCTCTGTGAAATGAGTTTAGTCTTTTTGGATTAATGACATTTCAGCAAGATTGAAGGCTGTTGTGTTCCTCATTGACGGATCTGGTCTTCAGGTGCATAAGGGAACGGCAGAGAAAAGCCTCACCCAACATCTGTGGCTCCCAAGCCCTAGTTAAAATAACCAGCAGAGGAGGGCGTCATGTTGGGGAGTGACAGCCCTTGCTCCTGCACCTTCCCTTGCTTTCTCTTTGTTTCTACGCGTTTCCTCCTCTTTTTTCTTTAGGTCTCTTTTTCTCTTCCTCTCCTTCTCCTTCACTTCCTTCCCTTTGCCTTCTTTCTCTTCGCTTCTTCCTGAATTTGGAAAGATGGATTCTTCTCTCATCTTCCCTACCTGCTGTCTGCATTTCCCTTTCCTCAAGCTTCGTGCCCACCTAATTCTTTTTCAAGGGTTCACCTACCTGTGGATAGTGATGCTTTCAAGAGTATCTTTATAGATGTTGGAGTGTATCTGGCTAGATCATATGCCTCAGTTTCATGCCCATAGCTAACTAAACAGAGGTCATCCCACCTTTCATGGTGGGTTCTCACATAGGGTTTTTCAACTTTAGGATGGGATGGACGCCATGCACATTCAGTAGAAACTATAGCTGGAGGTTTTTTGTTTTGTTTTTGTTTTTTGGTGGTACTGGGGTTTGAACTCAGGGCCTTGTGCTTGCTAGGCAGGTGCTCTACCACTTGAGCCACGCCCCCAGCCCTGTACCTGGAATTTTGAACTTGATCATTCCCTGGGATGGTGATCTTCAGCTCTCAGTCAGTCCCACCATCCTGAGGGGAACAATCTGTAGTGTGCTGTGTGGCCAAGTGAGGATGGTCAGTGGGTTAGGTGCATCCAGTGCATTTTCACCTTACAATGGGTCTGTTGAAGGGTAACCCCATTGTAAGTGGAAGAGCATCTGTAGTCAAACCACTCATAATTGGTGGCCCAAGGACACTGCTTCTTTTCTCTTCTATACTTGTAATATGAACTTCTGAAGAACATCCAATTATTAGACTCTTGTCTTCACTGCAGGCCTCCCTCTCAGAGTCATGCCTGCCACTGTCTCCTTACCTTCCTCCCCTGCTGCTTCTTTGGTGGCCCCTCAGCCTGCAGGCTTTTTGATTTCAAGGAACTGGGGAGGGTGATACAGAGTCAGTGATGATACACACCCAGCCCCAAAGATCTTGTGTTTGATAGGAGAGAAAAGGGACAAGTGACATGCAAATCAGATGATTGTATCATAAGGTAATTTCTGTGATTGAAGTAAGTTCTGGGAACTGGGGGAGGGATGTGTACTTCAGACAGGAGTGGGGGGACTGCAAGTAGATGTCACTCAAAAAATCAGATCGGGGAGGAGGGAGATGAGGGGTAGAGGCATTTTGGTTTTTATGGGTTTTTCTTTTACCTTTTAAAGATGGAAGAGGAAGCCCACTGGACCTTTGTAACTAGTACCTTGTTCCTTTGAAAATCTTCCTTTCAGGGCTGGCAGAGTGGCTCAAGTTGTAGAGCACCTGCCTAGCAAGTGTGAGGCCCTGAGTTCAATCCCAGTACCACCAAAAAAAGAAAGAAGACATCTCTCACTTCAGAGACTCCTAATTTCACTTTCGTAAACCTCCCCAAACTCATTTTCAGTTTTTTTCTGAATGCTTTCTTTGATATTAGTTCATTTTATTCCTAATGCCATTTCCCAGCCAGAAAAGAGATCTATTTCACACACCCACCCTAAGAGCGCTGGAAGACAGCCTCTGGTGATCCCTTTGGGTTCAGCAGAGGCCCCTGTGGTCACATCGCTTTCTTACAGCAGACACAGCACCTGCTGGATTTGCTCTGTCCTAAGCACCCTGTGGGTTTCCTTCCTGAGCCCAGACAGAGTGCAGCCCCTGTGGGCCACCGTGCTCACTCGCCTTCTTAGACCTTATGATGACTGCTCACTGCTCTGTGGAGCTAGGAGACCTTCTGCCATCCATACTCCCACTGAACTTGAAACTAGAGGAAGACTGCACTCTGATAGTATCCGCCATGACAAATAACACTCAGGTTTTGTTCTTTCTAGTGTGTTCACAGAGACCTGGCAGCTAGGAACGTACTGGTCACCCATGGGAAGGTGGTGAAGATATGCGATTTTGGGTTGGCTCGAGACATCCTGAGTGACTCCAACTACGTTGTCAGGGGCAATGTGAGGCTGTGGTTTCTTCCCTGCTTTTATACTGCTATTTTGTGTTCTGTCATAATCCCAGGAAACAGCTGCACTCACTGTAATGCATTTTTGATTTATGGTAACATAAAAAAAAAAGTCCTCATGGCAGTTTGCTTACTTATGCTTAAAAGATTTTTCTGCAGCTTTAGGGACTGTTCCATCTATGACAAAAGTTAAGCAAAATAGCCACACACCTATCCTCAGACTAGCTAGTCACAAAAGGGCCATTAGGGGCCTTTGAGTGTGGTCTTCACTTAAAACAAACAAACAAAAAAACTATTTATTTACACTTCAGTTTTTAGCTATAAAATAGCTCAATAGCCATTGAGTTGCCAAGTTATAAGAAAAGCTAATTGTTAAAGTATTTTTCAAAATCTACAACACATACATATTAGGGATAAACCTTAATTGTTAAAGTATTTTTCAAAATCTACAACACATACATATTAGGGATAAACCTTAAAGGGCACAGTACTTTAAGTCAAATTAAATATTAGTTAATGAATATTTATTTAGCATCTTGTTACTGTTAAGGCAGGAAGACCTAAAACATGACTGAATTTGCTAGCTTAGAAAAACAACAACAAACCAAAGGGTTGGGAGTGTAGCTCTGAGGCAGAGCGCTCGCCTAGCCTGTGCAAGGCCCTGAGTTCCACCCCCAGCACTGCCCCCCAAAACAATCACAGCATTGGGGTTAAGCCCTTCTTCTGCTTCATTTTGGTTATTGCTTCTGGAGATTTCTCTGCATTATTGTCTCTTCTTGTGAAATAATAACAGCAACAAGTGCTTATGTAGGGTGGAGGTGTAGCTCAAGTGGTAGAGTGCCTGCCTTGCAAACACAAGGCTCTGAGTTCAAACCCCAGCTAGTCCTTACTATGTGTTAATTGCTCTTCTGGGTGACAATATAATAATTCATTTAGTACTCACAGAACTCACTTTGTGGATGAGGAAACTGAAGTACACAGAAGTAACTTGCCTGTGGACCTGCAGCTCCATGGGTGTGATGAGCTTAAGTGTCTAAGCCTTGAGTCTACACCTCACCACTGTGGTATGGGGTGTCCCATGAGGCTCTGTACTTACTTCCTAGGGGTGTGGGAATAAACCAATAAAACCAACATGAAAGCTCCTTGTTCAGGTTACACATCTAGTAAATGCAGAAAATCAAATTAATCTGTATTCCCACTGGAATCAAATAATCAGCTTTGTTGATTTAAAGCCTGCTCCTCAGTAATTAGAGCCGAAGTCCTAAGTGTGCGACTGCTCCTGTGCAGTGATGAGCTCCTGCCCTGCCAGCTGCTGTCTCTTATGCGGGAGGGTGCATTCCATTTGGAACCACAATTAATTCTATTAGTGTATCACCCAAACTGGACTAGCCCGCTTGATTCATTCAACTCCTCTGCCCGAGTAGGATTCTGGTGCTTTGATTTTGCTTGGCAGATTAAACACACACCATGAAGGGCTCCTCAACCCAGGAAATAACAAAGTCAGTACAAAACTCACTCCCCACGGCCTCCGTGCCCGATTCAGACCTGAGCTTATACCTACTAGGTCAAAACTCCCCTGTCATGCTCCTAGAAATTCTGAAAGCCACAGAGGCTCGCTGATGTCATTTCTGGAAATCATGACATAAGCACCCCTCACCACATTCTCGAGGATGGCATTTCTAAATTCTGATGAGCAGTGCTTTAATCAGATTCCGTTCATTGCGGTGAACGTGAATGCACTTCCTCACCCCAGGGCAGCCCAGTAGCTCCTCCTTAGAGGAACTGTTCCATTCACCAGTTCCCAGCACAGGCTGTGTGCAAAATGAGCTTGGGGGAAAAATATTTTCTTTGGGAGGGGGGGTGCTGTTACCCAGAATGTTAACTTGAAAGTGAAAAGCTTCCACTTGAGTAAGAGTTGCCTTAGGGAGATATTACATTTCATCCTCTAGCAAAAGAAGCGAGGCCATGGATCAGTGCACAGGAAATCCACCCTCTTGGGTGTTATTTATTATTATCATTATTATATTATTGTTGTTCTGGGGTCCATTGTAACATTTACAAAGTGCTTATAATTTGTCATAGTTGAATTCACCCCCTCCATCATCTTCCTTTATCCCTTCTCCCCCATTCCTGGAATAGTTTCAACAGGTCTCATTTTTCCATTTTTATACATGACTACACAACATTTCCACCACATTCTCCCTCCTACACCCTTTCCTTGTCCTCCCCCTCCCACTGGTACCAACCCCCAAACAGGACCTGTTTTACCTTCCTGTCCTCCATTTTTGAAAAAGACATTTTTGTTTGTCTAAGATACACAGGGAGTTTCATTGTGACATTTCCATGTATGTATGTATTATAACCCGAATTGGTTCATCCTCTCTATTTTCCTCCTCTCTACCTTAGTCCCCTTCTCATGGTGGTTTCAACAGATTAAAAAATTCTGTATTCATTCTTGTATAGAGAACATCAGCCATGTTCACTTTCTCTATTCCTTCTTTTACCTTCCCTGCGCTTGGGTTTTGCACAGGCCCGGCTGCCTGTGAAGTGGATGGCTCCTGAGAGCTTATTTGAAGGGATCTACACAATTAAGAGTGATGTCTGGTCATACGGAATATTACTCTGGGAGATTTTCTCACTTGGTAAGTTTGTCCCTTTGCTGGCCTCCCTGGGTCTGGGCTTTGTGCATCCTACTCCCTCCACACCCCTCCCCACCTCTCTGCTTCCCAAGTGGAGGGTGAGTAAAATGCCACCATGTGGCTCCCATACCTCCTGGTTTTGCTGCATTATTTGCTGATGTCCATGAGTCTGTCTTCCCTGCTGGTCTCTAACCTGCTTGGGAGGTCTTGTGACTTCTGTGTCCACTTGCAGCCCTAGCTGAAGGCTGTGTGTGGCACATGGGAACTCTCAATACACATTTGCCAATTGAATGGGTAAGCAAATGGATGAAGAAATGGTGCATAGTTACACTTTTCTGTTTTCTCAGGTGTGAACCCTTACCCTGGCATTCCGGTTGATGCTAACTTCTATAAACTCATTCAGAGTGGATTCAAAATGGATCAGCCATTTTATGCTACAGAAGAAATGTAAGTTTAAATCGGACCATCGGTTGGGTGAAATTAGAACTTTGTCATCTGTTTCCTTCCAAATGCATTACAAAAAAAAAAAAAAAAAGAAGGCAAAAACTCCTTAATGCAAAGTTCCCATGATTGCTCTGTAAAAAGCAAAGGAAAAGCTTATCCTTTGTTTCCAGATGTCTTTCTTTTTTAAAAAAAAAATTATTAGCATATAATAGTTGTATGGGGGGATACATTGTGATATTTACCTATGTGCCTGCACTATATCTTAGTTGGGTTTACTCTCTCCCTTGTTCTCCCTCTTCCCCACACCCTTCTTAGAACAGTTTCAGTTTTCATTCTATTTTCATATATGGATACAAAACACATCCACCGTTTTTGCCCTCTTTCCCCCTTTCCTTGTGCCCACCCCCCTCCCACTGGTACCCACTCCCTGGTGTTTCCCGGATTTCAGAAGGAGACTGGATGTCCCCAGAGGCACTGCTTCTGGGCTTTCATTCCTTTGCTTAAGAGACCTGTGAGACTCAGGCTCCATCTCCTTCAAGCATTTCTCGCTGTCATCTAGTTCCTCCTTTCTGATATATGTACAAAATCTAGTAGAGTATTTGCCACAAAGCAAACACAGCATGAATAGGTCACGTGGAAAATGACCCATTTTGCTTCATTGCAATTTCCTCATCTTGTCCTTGTTCTGTTGCTTTTACAGATACTTCATAATGCAATCCTGCTGGGCTTTTGACTCAAGAAAACGACCGTCTTTCCCTAACCTGACTTCATTTTTAGGATGTCAGCTGGCAGATGCGGAAGAAGCGGTACGTAGCAGCCAGGACTTGATATACACAAATTTTGGATATATCCAAATGGCCCAAGCTGTCTTTCTCACCATTTGTCTAGGTTGCCCTTTGAAAGGTGAATAAGATGAGACAGTTATTGAGGTGTTTTAGAGAACAATATCCTTCCTGAAGATTTCACTCAACTGTTTAATAAACTAAAAGGACTACACAACTAAATAAAACTTAGTCCCTCCAGAAACCACTGGCCATTCGGAATTCAACGTGAAGTATTAGCCTGGTAGTCACTGGAATAGGTTATGTAATACACAGAGTGGAAAGAGCCTTGGCCTGAAGTTGTTAGAGCTGAATACCAGCTCACAACTGTGTCTGTTATGGCCAGTCACTTCTCTGGGCCTTGGTGTTCTCACCTGTAAAATGGGCTCCTGAGCTAGATGATCCTTCTTGGGCTTTGGGAACTTAAAGTTACTTTGCTAACTCTTGCCTCACAACCTACCTGGCACAAAGGAGAAAGCCATCCCCTTGTGATGTGAATCAAGGGTGGACCTTGAACTCTTAACACCCCAGTGCAAACCTTAGCTCCATTATTCATGTTTTGTATGACTTGATTGTCACTTATTCTTTTTTTTTTTTTGGCAGGGGGGGTAGTCTCAGTTTCCATATCCAAAATACAATATTAAAAAAATCTTACTTCATGGAGTTGTTGAGGCAGTAGTGAGATGATGAATGTAGAGAGACAGCACATACTAGGAAACTAGTATTTACTCACAAAATGTCAGTTAAATGTAAATATGAGCCAGGCACGGTGGTGTACACCTGTAACCCCAGCACTCAGAGGCTTCAGGCAGGAGCATTGAAAGTTCAAGGCCAGCCTAGGCTACATAGCAAACCTTCTTTAAAAAAAAATGCCTGGACAAGGGTGGCTCATGCCTGTAATCCTAGCTACTTGGGAAGCTGAGATCAGGAGGATTGAAGTTTGAGGCCAGCCTAAGGAAAATTGTTCTAAAGACCACCAGCTCCAAAATACCTAGAGTGAAACGGACTGGAGCTGAGGCTCAAGTGGTGAGCACCTGCTTTGCATGTGTAAGGCCTGAGTTCTCAGTCCAGTTCCACCAAAAAAAAATTTTTTTTTAATTTAAAAAAATTAAAAGGTTAAATGGATTATCTGCTTTCTAAATTGTTAAAGTACATTTTCAATTCTGTGTTCCTCTGTTAACCTGTTCTTTCTTCCTGATGTAATTTTTTTAAGTCACATACAGAAATTCAGTTATTGTCAGGGAATTAGGTCAAAAGACTGGGAGATGGAAAGCCCCCAAGGTCCTTCTGGTCTGTTGGGCAGATGGCCTCCTGTACACGTTTAACGACTACGAGATAAAGAGAAGGAAGAGGTCTAGAAAGCAATGGTGACATAGCCGGGTAAAGGGGAAGGACTCACTAATGCTGCTGTTAGGTCAGGGGTGGGGAGTCACAGGGGCTGATCTCAGCTGGGCTGTGAAGAACAGGGAGCATTTCTGTCTGCTGGAGGATGGAGGGTGAGTGGGATATCCTAGGTCAATGAATACTATAAATAAAGGTTCAAATTGGAGAAAGTGCATGGAAAATAAATGGCTGCAGCTGCCATCCAGGGAGGATGGGAAGTGTGGATGAAAATAAGGCTGTAAAAGCAGCAGGACCAGGGCAGAGGCCCCACTGCCACCCAGGAGCCCCTTGGCTTTGTTCGGGAACCGCCTTGGGCTTGGTTTGCGGCTCTCCTTTCGTGTCCCCACATCCACCACATGTTCAATCCTTCCCTCTGTTCAGCAACTGTTGGAACCTATCCATGGATGCTAGCTAGGTCACTGGGGGGAATCCAAGTTCAAGGGCAACAGTTCACCGACTTTTCCTCCCAGCCCTTCCTCTTGGCACCTGACCCTCCATGATGAAAGGTTCTTTTCCCTATTTGCATCAGAGCCACAGGTACACAGCAGAGCAAACAGTAGCTCCTTCAAGCATGTTAGAAAATGGCACCCCTGTGCATGGAATCAGCCCTGCTTGCCTGCTTTGCAGGGCACTGTTTTAAATTCCTAGTGTGCTTTGACACACTAGGCAAGTGTTCTGCCACACAGCTGCACCCCCAGCCTGCTGCTGGGCACTTGAGTGCATGACTTAATCCACACAACTGTACAGATGGCCACTTGACATTGCAGCTCTGTCATTTCCCTTGATGGGAAACTGGCCTTGCCTGTATGCCCAGGTGGTTTACCCTGGCAGCCTGTGAGTGGCTGTGTAGACGCTTTGTCTCTGCTTCACCAAGCAGTAGGGCAGGAAATGACCCTGAGGAAACAAGGGGAAGGAGAGGAAAATGGACAGGGAAAATGCAGATTACAACTTCTAGTTCTAATGCCTACACCAAGGGGGTCAGATCAGGGAGTTGCTGAATAATCCTCAGGCATTATTCACACAGTGATGCACCAATGAAGATCTTTAGGATGCACAAACGTGTTTCAACCTTTAAGACGAAGATCATATATTCTCTCTGCAAGTCCTCTCCTGATCCATGCCAGATCCCAGGCTCCTTCTGGATTTCATAGCATTTACATGTAACCCTGCATGGTAATTTTGCTTTATGTGTCTGCTTTCTTATCAGTGAGCAGACTTGAAGGCAAGGATGTTGTTCTGCTTGCCTTTTTTTTTCTTTTTTTGTTCATGGGATGAAAGGAACCCAGTTCCTGGAGCACGCTAGGCAAGCTATAGTCCAGACCTTTAAAAAAAAAAAAATTGAGCTGGGCACCAGTGTCTCACACCGGTAATCCTAGCTACTCAGGAGACAGAGATCAGGAGGATCGTGGTTCTGCAGTTTGAAGCCAGCCCTGGCAAATAGTTCACAAGATCCTATCTTGAAAAAAACCCCTCATGAAAAAAAAAAAAAGAAAGAAAAGCTGGTGGAGTGGCTCAAGGTGAAGGCCCTGAGTTCAAGCCCCAGTACCACAAAATAAATAAATAAATTTGAAACAAGTTCTCTCTAGGTTGCCCACACTGGCCTCAAACTCATGATCCTCCTGCCTCAGGCCTCCAAACAGCTAGGATTATAGATGTGCATCACCACACCTGGCTGTCTACTCATCTTTACATCAGCTCTAGTAGAGCTTGCCTGTGTCTATTACATGAATGAATGAAGATCAGTATGGAAGTAGGTTAGGGACCACCTCTGGGGTCTCACCACCAGGCTGAGCTTAGAGAAGCTGCTCAGGAAACATTTCTGGAAGGATGACAGGGAGGAACAGGGAGTGGAAAAACAAAATAACAAACAAGGACATCAGTTAACAGGTGACTGTGGTGGCTGGGGTGTATTGTAGTTCTACTGTAGAGCACTTACCCAGTATGCAGGAGGCTCTGGGTTCCATCCCCAGCACAAAAACAAACAAAAAACCCACCCCAATTACAAAAGGTGACTGTGATGATGGAAAATCAACTCAACTCAGGTGGTTGGGGGGCAGGGATAATGGGAGGAGGAGATACTAGTAAGTCCCCTGCTTCAGAAGAGGGGACTGAACTCACTTGTTCCCTCTTCTGCTGCTCCATCAATTTCCAGAGGTTTGGATAGTTGCGTGCCACTTAACGACATGATATGTTTTGGGAAATACATCTGACACGATTTTTATGTCGTGTGAGCATCGTCAGTACACTTATACAAACCTCAATGGTGTCCTGCTGCATATCTAGACTGTGTGGTATGTACGATGGTCTATGTGGCTCACCACTGACTGGATGTCATCACACGACACATAACTATGTTTAAAAAAAAAAAGAAGTGAGGCCATAAATACCTTTGAAAGCAATAAAATAAAATATTTCTTTATAAACCAGGAATTAAGTGTCTGAAACAATGAAAGCTGTTCAGATGGAACAGAAGAGGGCTGGGCATGGTAGCTTTTGCCTGTAATCCTAGCAATAAGGGAAGCTCAGGTAAGAAAATAGTGCTCAGAGGCCAATCCCCAGCAAAAAATAAGAGATGTTATGTGAAAAATAACTAAAACAAAAAGAGCTGGTGGCATGGCTCAGGTGGTAGGCCATCTGCCTAGCAAATGCAAGGCCCTGAGTTCAAACCCCAGTACTGACAAAAAAAAAAAAAAAAAGATGGGATAGAAGAGGGAAGACCGGCAACAAAGGAACAGTGCCCAAACAAAAGGGTGGGAAGAAGCCCCATGGGACCCCATTGTTAAGTAAGTAAGCATGAGATTGGATATGGGTGTTAAAAGTGAAAGAATAACCCCTGGTAAGTTAGAGAATAGAAGAAAAGGAACCATAAAAAGCATAACCAATCCAACAAAACAAGGAAGAGAAACAGAAAGAATTCATGAGGACAGAAAAAACAAAATGACAAGAATTAGTAAACCTACTGAAGAAAGAGAATTTCAGAGTAAATAGAATTGAGATTGTGTAGGGTGCATTCAGTAGCCTTAAGGCAGTGCACCAAAAAAAAAACCCACCCAAATCCATACACCAAAAATTTTAAATCATGCTTCCTGGGGATTAGGGTGTAGCTCAGTTCTATCCCCAGCAACTCAAAAAAGAAAAAACAAAACAAAACAAAAAATCATGCATCTTAAACAAGCCTTTATTAAGAATGAATATAGAAGTTTTAAATCTGTTGAAATTGCCTTAAGAAGAGACTAAGAGAGAGAGGAGGAAAATAGAGAGGATGAACCAATTCAGGTTATAACACATATACACATGGAAATGTCACAAGGAAACTCCCTGTAGAGCTATCTTAAACAAACAAAAATTTTTTTTTCAAAAGTGGAGAAGCGGAAGATAAAACAGGTCCTGTCTGGGGGTTTGGTACCACTAGGAGTGGGGAGGAGACAAGGAAAGGATGCAGGAGGGTGAAGATGATGGAAATGTCATGTACTCATGTATGAAAATGGAAAAACGAGACCTGTTGAAACTATTCCAAGAATTGGCGGAGAGTCTTAGAATAAATAATAAATAAATTAGAATAAGTAATAATAAATAATTTAATAATAAATAAATAAATAAATTAGAATAAATAATAAAGGAGAATGGACGGGGCAAATTCAACTATGATATATTGCAAGCACTTTTGTAATGTCCCAGTGTACTCTGGTACGATAATATGGTAATAAAAATAAACTAATTTTTTTTGAAAAGGGGAAGGAGTACAGGAAAAAGAAATAAAAATGGATACTATCTATTAAAACCTGTGGAAGTTACCCAAACTTAAAGTTGTAAATTTACTGTTTAGAAAACAAAACAAAACAAAAGAATGGGCTGCACAGTGAGACCCTGTCTCAAAAACAAAACGGAAATAAATAACAAAAAAGAGAATGATGCAAGTCAGCCCACTCGCTGATTGGCATGGGAGGAGGCAGAGATGATTCTGAGAGTCACCAGCCTTGGGACTGGGTGGATGGCAGCGCGCTGACACATTCAGGAGTGGATGTGTCAGTGTGAAGTGGTATTAATGTCGGTTGCAGTTTTCATGAAATGGTTGGAAATTTTGTGCCAGAAGTATACATTTGGATTCCACGGTTCTAACAGGTCATAAGCTACTGCTGTGTCTACTTGACAAAAAAACACAGATCAAGATGTGTGTATGCATACTCAAGGGTACAGGCAAAGTTGTCATTGTGGCACCAGGATCCAAATGAATGGGTTTTGGTTCATAAGGATATGTATTTTTAGTTTTCTGAAAGAAAAATTAAATTGACGAGGCCAACCAGTTCACAGTGTAACTGCCTATTAAGAAACCAAACCAAACTAAACCAAATCAAACAGCGGTAAGGAGTGGAAGAAAGGAAGGTTTCTGTACAATTTAAATAAACAGAATGCATGACCTCTAATCACAGAGATAGCATATAAATAATAAGAAAATCACATATTCCCTTTGTGTACAGAAAAGGGCAGCAGGAAATTGCAGCTGCTCACAATGCAGTGAATAGACATTAAGTATAAAGAATGCTCAACTTTGCTTATAATGAGACATGCATGGGTAAGAGATAAAATCTGTTGCTGGAGCCGGTGCTGGTGGCTCATGCCTGTAATCCTAGCTATTTGGAAGACAGAGATCAGAAAGATCAAGGTTCAAAGCCAGCCCAGGCAAATAGTTTGTGAGACCCTATCTCAAAAATACCCAATACAAAAACAGGACTGGTGGAATGGCTCAAGTGGTTGAGCACCTGCTCAGCAAGCATAAGACCCTGAGTTCAAATCCCAGTGCTGTAAAGAAAAAAATTGACGGGTCTGAGAGGTGAAGATGGCTGATACCCATTGCTGGGAAGGCTGGAGGAGGCAGTGCTCCCAGACTTGGTTGGTAGGAGTAGGAATAAGTTCAGAGGGTACCCAGTTTGCATGATCCAACCCACACAACCATGGGTTTCACTTTCAGCACGTATTCATGAGTCACAGGAGAGACTGTGCGCCATACTGCACAGGTGGTTTGGCAGCCGTTGGTGATGGCCAGCAGTGAGCCAGCATGCTGCAGGTGGGCCAGGCTAAGCGACAATGTCTGGGAGCTGAGGTGGGTTACATGCATTTTCAACTTGCAGTGTTTTCAATTTGTGATGAGACATTTGGACATTCAGCAGGAGCATCTGGAGACTTTTCTGCAGGGCACCTGGCAGCGTGCGTCTCCCTCCATCCAACAATCCCCTTTCCCCATTTACCCCCTGCAGAGATGGGTCCAGGGTGCACTTGTCCATTTGTTTTATATAATCAGTCTGTCAAAAGGTTAATTAGGGTACCCTCAGTACCCTAATTAAAAAAGTTATGTGGCCATGCTTAGTGATATGAAAATATGTACTATGATGAATAAAACAGTAATGGTATACTTACTGTTCAAAGTAAGGTTTAGAACAGAATATACAGCCTAAACCTGCTGGCACAAAACTGTGTGCGTAGCAAGTGTCTGTAGCGGCAGTTATCTCTGGTGACTTTTAGGGGTTTTTTTCTATGTACTTTTCTATATTTCTTAGGTGACTTATATATATGTGTGTTAACTTCACAATTAGAAGAGAGAAAGAGAATGAAGAAACCGCGCTTGCAATCCCAGCACCCTGGAGGCTGACTGAGGCAGGGAGTTCATACTTCAAGATCAGCTTGTATTATATACTTTAATTTAAAAAGTAAAGCTATTTTCATCTTGGAAAAAAATTCCAAAGCTACAAAAGTTCCAAGTAAAAATTCAAGCATGGGTCCCCTGTGTTAAGTGAATAAAGTATACATTTCTTCTTGCGGCCTTTCTCTTTTATGGTTTTTCTGCTTGGCTTTAGGATTTCTAGAGTGTCATTTTACAGTATAAAATATTTGACTCTGACTTCATTTCTCCATTAATAAAAAGACCCAAACTGCCTTCTCAACTAATAATATGTCTAAGACGAACTGTGTAAAACAATTCTTTTTATTCAAACTTGTCCTACAGACGCATAGCATGTGAATCTTGATCAGATGGTAATCAGCCTCTGTCTCTCCCATACTCAGATGTATCAGAACACAGATGACCCTATCTTGGAACGTCCTTCCAGCTACCAAAACAGGCGGCCCTTCAGCAGAGAGATGGGCTCAGAGCCTCCATCTGCACAGGCTCAGGTTGCAGATTCATAGAGAAGCAAGTTAAGTCCTCAGGACTTAACTTACACCTTACACCACCTTAAACAGGCTGTAGATTACCAAAACGACTTTACTTTCATCACTAAAAAAAAATATATTACCAGCTGCTGCTTCGCTGGACTTTTCTCTAGAAGCTGTCTGCCATTACTCTCGTTTTCAAAGGGACTTTTGTAAAAATTGAATCATCTAGTGTGCAAGGCAGGGAGAGCCCTTGCCCACCTTCCAAAGACCGTGCCAGGCGTGAGTGCAAATCGCGTGCCTGAAGTCCAGTATCTTCTTGTAAATACATAAAACAGAGCGTTTTGCTAAGAAGAAGCTAATATGATTTTTTAAAATCTGTTTTAAAATAATATGTAACTTTTTCAGCTATTTAGTGATATATTTTATGAATGGAAATAAACTTTCTACTATAGAAATATCGCTGTTGAATTATTTACGTGAGATATTTGGTATAACACTTACCTGGAGTTCATGAAGTTGTGCACAGTGCTTTATTTGTCCACATGTGTTTTTTGTGTTTTTCCACTGAGAAGGCCCATTCTGTCATCAAATTCATCATGGTTTTTTTTAGACAAGGTCTTGCTATGCAGCTCAGACTGGCCATCTGGAACTCTCTATGTAGCCAAGGTTGGCCTTGAACTCTCAATCTTCCTGCTGTAGCTTCTCAAGTGCTGAGATTACAGGCATGTGTCCAACTCTTTCATCAGATTCTGTGTGTGTGTGTGTGTGTGTGTGTGTGTGTGTGTGTGTGTGTGTGTTTGGTGGCACTGGGATTTGAACTCAGGGCCTCACACTTGCTAGGCAGGTGCTTTACCACTTGAGCCATGCCTCCAGCCCTTTTGCTTTTTAGTTTGTTTTTCCAGGTAGGGTCTTGTGTTTTTCCCTAGGCTGGCTTCAGACCTCAAGCCTCCTACTCACACCTCTCAAGTAGCTGGGATTACAGGTATAAGCCGTCATGCCCAGCCTTAGGTACTCAGAGCAGCACAAAAGGACAAAAACAGGCAGGGAACTCAGCTTCTCAGGGTTGCCAAGGAGAATTATTAGATGAATTAAATATATAACATGTAAGGGTTATAAATATAGAACATAAGCACAGAAATTACTTAGTTCAATGACTGGTGCAGAGGGGTGACCCTCTGCTATCATTTGCACTTTCCTTTCCAGTTTTAACCTTTCCCTTAGTCCAGGTCCCCCTGGGTCACTTAGAGCAAGTCCCTTCTTCCCCTACTGCCCCTTCCTGCCTTTTCCCCATCAGTGCTTTCTCTCAGCTGCTGCCAGATCTGGCTTTCCAAGTACTGATTTGTGTGTGTTACTCACCTGGCAAGCTGACCACTGACAGTGGCCCCCAGGTCCTCGTTGCTAAGGTTAATTCTTGCAGTCAGGTTCAGTGCCCACCTCAGAATGGCTCTGCTGCATTTCATCCCACCAAGATATGGTGGCTCCAGCCAGCCCAGCGGGTGTAGGTCATGGTGTGGTGGTTAGGTTGGGGCACACTTGCCTCCACTCTTCCCTTTCTTCACCCTCCTTTCTCGTTTTCCCCCAGAAGCCCTTGCCTCATGACCATACTTCAGTCTGTCTTCTCCCTCCACCTTTCCCAGCTTCCCCTGCTGAAATCTTGTGAGCTTTTGTCTGCATCATCTGGATACTCTCAACACAGAGCCTTCCTCCCCCACCATGTTAATTATCTTCTTAAGAAAATGACCCGTCTCTTCTGTTGGAAGGCAGGCATGACTTAAGCCAAGTTGTATACTCACCTTCTGTTTGTGTATAGTCAGGGCACAACAAGAATATTACTCAATTGCTTTTTTAACCACTGAAGTAAAAGCATAAAATATGCTCGATGTTAAACATTCATAGTGTCGTGTTTTTATTTACAGTGATCATTGAAATCCCCCCAGAATCGGGCAACCCAAATCCTAGACTGCCTCTCCAGCAGAACTACTGCTAAATTCTGAGGCATGTTTCCCATCTTTTGTCTTTATGTATTTTCCTCACTCACACATGTTCACACACACACACTTCTTTGCTTTTCATGCGAATGGAGCCACACTAGCCAAGAGTCAAAGGTGCCTTTAATTCTTGGCAATGTTTGAATATCCGTGTATTTGTGGGCTCTTGTTAGGCGCAGGCGCCGTTTAGTCTTCATTGCTACCTATGAAGCAGGCACTAAAATGACACCGTTTTCCCTTGAGGAAATTAAAACTTAGGTTAATAACTTCAGTCCCCAGCTCCGCTGACGCCTGCCTTTACCTTACACTTGGGCTCTGGTATTGTTTTATTTATGGTATCTATTTGTTTTATGTGTAGCAAATAACACATGACATCACAGTCACCATCTTAACTCCTGTTAAAAATAATTCAATAGCTTCAAGCACTTTACGTTGCTGTAAACATCTCCACAACACTTTCAGTCTTGCAAGTTTGAAACTCTGTACCTATTAAACACGAACTCTCAATTCCCCAATCCCCTGCCCCTGGCAACCACCACTCTACTTTCTGTTCCTAGAACTCTGACTCTTCTCACTACCTCAAAGAAGCAGAATCATACAGTGTTTGTCTCTTTTTGTGTGTGTGTGCCTGGCTTATTTTACTTATGTCTTCTAGGTTCATCCATGTTCCAGCATGTGCCAGAAATTCCCTTCCTTTTCAGGATTGCATATTATTCCATTGCATGCACATAGCACATTTTATTTATTCATTCATCCTTTGATGAACACATGGTTTTCTCCCACCTCTTGGCTATTGTGAATAATGCTTCCATGAAGATGGGTGTGCAAATAGCTCTTCAAGACCCTGCTTTGGCTAAGAGTTCTTTTGTTGTCCTGGATCTTTGTACCATGGCTAAATTCAGTTCAGGATGCATGCAGGGAGAGGAGCTTCTTATTGCAGTACTGGTCTCTGACAAGAGCGACAAGCAAGTCCCACTTCTCCAGTTCCCTGAGCATGGGTCTCCAGCCACCTGTGAGCCACCAATATCCTCTTACATCCTCTTCTGAGGCAGGGAGCTCTGAGTTTGACTCTGTCTTACACCTGGGTACCTGGACGGGACCCATGTGGAGTCTACACCCTTGGCAGAACTGAGGAGTTAATCTGCTTTGCCTCTCTCTGTCTCGTTCTGTCTAGCTTTAGGTGCCATCAGTTTATTTTGATTTTGTATTCCTCCAGTATCTTGATAGGATGCAAGGAGGGAGCAGTCATAGTTATTTCTGATCACAAAATATGTGCTGGTGAAAAAGAAAACTTAACGTGAGCTTAAAGGAGCAATGTCCTCTTTTTCCTTCTGCGTAAGTGATTTTTTTCCAGGAAACATGCACAGTTTGCAGGTGACTTCTCTGTGGATGGAGTTAAGCAAATACACTTATACCTGGGCTCATCAATGCTGCTCGCCCACTGATGTGTGCAGGGCTATTGTCTCGTTTGTGCACCTTATAAAACTCGTAGCACTGGTGGCTCACGCCTGTAATCCTAGCTACTCAGGAGGCAGCGATCAGGAGGATCGAGGTTAGAAGCCAGCCTGGGCAAATAGTTCCATGAGACCCTATCTCAAAAAACCCATCACAAAAAAGTTCTGGTGGAGTGGCCCAATTGGTTGAGCACCTGCCTAGCAAGCATCAGCACTGAGTTCAAACCTCAGTACCACAGTCTATGTAGACTATTAGATCCTGCTTTCTTTTAAAAAGTTAACATTTTGCTTTGAAGATTTATCATAGTATAGGCTGAGTAGCTCTGATTCAAAAACTCAAAAGTTCAGGGTTGGGGCTGCGGCTCAAGTGGTAGAGTGGTAGTGTGCTTGCACGCCCTGAATTCAAATCCCAGTACTGCCAAAAGAAAAAAAGGCAAAAATCAAAAATTTTTGAGTGCCAACATAAGACACCATACCTGACCTCATGTGAGGTTATAGTTAAAATGCAGCTGTTCTAAAAGATTGTGTCAAGTTACCTTCAGCCTATCTGTGTGAGGTGCTAATGAAACATAAATGAATCCTATGGATTTATGGGTGTGCAATATTCCAAAATCATAAACAATTGAGACTCCGAAGCCCTCTGGTTCCAGCACTGGATAAGAGATACTCGGTCTGTATTCCATGGAGCTGAGGTTCGCCTTTCACTGATGTTCCATGCACACACAATTACCACTACATAATCCCTTGCACACTAATGACACCTGAATCATTCTGGGGGCTGGGTTGGGTAGTGGCTCACAGGTGATCTTTAAATGATTGTACCTTCACAGGGACCTGGTGTGCAACAGCTGGAAACAGCAGCCTCCTCCTCTGTAGTGGATGCAACCTGCTGCTTGTGTGGGTTGCCCTAAGTGACCTTGGAGACAGGTTTCCAGTGGGCGTTCATGACTCTGATCTCGGCTATTGCCAATCAAGGCTCCAGACCGGAATGCAGGGTGCCTTTGGGAAGCCCTGGGGCACAGTGGCCAGGGTTCACACATTGGCCAGGTAATCGTGTCCTTCCACACCAAACTGCAGAATAAGGAACATGAGATTGGGGCCTATGGAGGGCCAAGTTTAAGTTCCCTGGCTGCCAGAAGATCCATGTCTCACAGGAGTGGTACTTTACCAAGTTTAATGCAGATGACATGATAGCTTTGAAGCAGCTCATCCTTGATGGCTGGGGTCAAATAGATTCCTAATTGAGGTCCTCTGGACAAGTGGTGAGCCCTGACCTTGAGAGGGCTTCCCACTGTGCTGTCCCTTCTTCCTTAGTCACCTAAGCTGTACTCAACAATAAATCATCCTGTCCACCTAAAGATAAATAACTGTACTTGGTAACACACCCTTTATATATGCCGAGTGTATTTTAAAAGCACCCTTCTCTGCAGAATGACGGTGCCTAACAGCCTCTTAATGGAAAATGAATTTATGGTCTTATTAGGGTCAGATTTTACTTCAGATTCGGTTTTCCTTTGGGTCAAGTTGTGTCCCCGACGTAACTGTCCATTTTTCTCATGGCGTGAGGCACAACTTCCAAGTCCTGGGTTTAGAGTTTTGCTAAGGCAGCTCTTCCACCGGGCCTGCGTAGCGGCCTTGCCAGCAGGGGGCGCCCTACACCACTGTTTCCAAACCCATTCCCTCGCACCAGGCCTGGTTTCATTGCTGCACCTGCTCTCTGGACAGAACATTATTAAGCTGCAGACCCTGAAAAAAGTCAATCCGCTGGTTTGAAGAAAAAAACAACTCTATGCAGACAATCCCGACTCATTCGTTTAGGATCCAGCGGCTTCTTGACTGGTAACTAGAGTATTTTATGTGCCTGTTTACAACGCGCCACAGTCACCACCAGCAACCTCCTACAGTGTCTAACTATAAAATTCCACATTCTTCTTTTTTTTTTTTTATGCTACTGGAGTTTGAACTCAGGGCCTCACACTTGCTAGGCAGGCACTCTCCCACTTGAGCCACTCCACCAGCCTGTTTTGTGATAGGTTTTTTTCAAGATAAGGTCTCTTGAGCTATTTGCCCAGGCTGGCTTCG